GATGGGGTGAGAGGTGGCGTGAGGTGAGGATGGGGGTCAGAATGGCGCTGGGTTCCCACAAGGGTTAGGGCAATCGAGGATTTTGGGAGGGAGTAGCAGAGGCTGTGGAGTGTGACCTTGCGCCCTGGTGCCCACACAGAAGTGGTGATGGTGGTTTGGGCAACGTCTCCCTCTTGCCCTTGACCATCATCATTGATGAGTGGTCATCCTTGACCATCACCATTCATGAATGGTCATCCTGGACCATCTTGACCCACCAGGATCCCACCATCCTAGGCCCACCAGGGAGCGGTGATCCTTGTCTTGGCTGTGCTGGTGGTCAGGCAGCACCGGGAGTGGCCTGATTAGCCATGCCAGCTGGGTCTGTCCCAGCTGGTGAGGGATGCATCCAGCCATGACGAGGACATGGAGGGTGATGGGCCCCTTCATGCCATCGGTGTTGGCTGCAGTTTCATCTCCCGGCACGCGCATGGACCTGGAGTGTTATGGAGACAATCTATACAATCCCCCCCCCTTGGATGACATCCACAGAGCTTCTCAGCTGCAAACATCCTAAACTGCTGCCTCCACCTTAATCTGTGCTGAGACCAAGCTGACATGGAGTGAAACCTTCCATAACACCTCTGTGCAGCAGAAGACCTCGGAATGGGTTTGCTTGGGTATAAAAACGGGTTTCCCTTCTCCTGTTAAGGTACCCAAACACCTATGTTGGGCTCTCACCCCGGAGAGGACTAAAGGATGATGTTTTCTGCCTGTCCTGAAAAGAAACACCTTTGCAGGCCTGTGGAAATGAGTTTTGCGGGCTTGTTTGGCACTCGGTGACGATGGAGTGGCAGCACCTGCAGTTCCCAGGAGGAATTAATTAAGATAAGCAGTCCTCCCGTTCTTAAATCACTGCTCCCACCTCTTTTTCTCTCTAACATGACCACGCATGGTTGCAAAGAGGGGTCATGGCTGCTGGTTCCTATCAGACCTTTCTGCCTCCTGTGTCCTTCTGACAACAGATGGGGGTTAAAGATGCCTGGTATGCCCCAATGTTTTGTGTGTGGTGTTTTTTTTTTTTGGTGTGTGTGTGAGTAAATGGATGTGATCAGCCAGTCTAAATGAATCAAAGTGACTGCTCCGTCTCCCGCCGGGAGCTGCCGAGGCTGGCACAGCTCAATGTCACTGCTGGGGCAGGGCTGTTGGCAGCCAGGTTAACGTCAGGGGACGAGCTCGCTGCTGTGGCACGGAGGAGGTATGTATTAGGAGGGGGGCCAGACCCACACGCAGTCTGAGCAAGACATTGAAAACACAGCCAGCTCGTGTTTCCCATGAGATACTGCTGGGGAGGTGGGAAGAGTGGTCCTTCAAGAAGCCTCAGCAATGGCTGGCTGGAGTCTAGGGAGGTGTGTCATAGAATTATAGAACGGTTTGGGTTGGAAGGGACCTCAAAGGTCATCTAGTTCCAACCCCCCTGCCATGGGCAGGGACACCCTTC